TTCTGTACGTCTGTAATTACGAGAAAAAAATTAAATTACGTAAAAAAAAAAAATTTCTGTATGTCTGTAATTACGAGAAAAAAATTAAATTACGTAAAAAAAAAAAATTTCTGTATGTCTGTAATTACGAGAAAAAAATTAAATTACGTAAATAAAAAAAATTCTATACGTCTGTAATTACGAGAAAAAAATTAAATTACGTAAAAAAAAAAAATTTCTGTATGTCTGTAATTACGAGAAAAAAATTAAATTACATAAAAAAAAAAAATTCTGTACGTCTGTAATTACGAGAAAAAAAAAGTAAATTACGAAAAAAAAAAATCTGGACGTCTGTAATTACGAAAAAAAAAGTAAATTACGAAATAAAAATTCTGGACGTCTGTAATTACGAAAAAAAAAGTAAATTACGAAATAAAAATTCTGGACGTCTGTAATTACGAAAAAAAATTTTCTGTACGTCTGTAATTACGAGAAAAAAAAGTAAATTACGAAAAAAAATTTCTGTACATTTTTAATTACGAAAAAAAAAATTCAGAACAAAGCAGAACAAAGCATTAAGAACAAAGCAACAAATCACTTTCTCCTGATAAGACCGACCACCGGGGGGCAGCGAAACCGAACCGAGCATCGGGGAGGTCGGGCGGGGGGGTCTGCGACATCTTACCTTCGTCGGTGTGGGCCGGTCGACACTGGGTCTGTAGAAGTTGGGCGAACAGAGCCAGAGCCAGAAGCACGCGCCGCCTCATCAGCATCCTGCAGAGGGCGCTGCTAGTCGCCGCCGCCCCGACACAGGCACTCCATTCAGACCTGGGGGGCATCGACAGGGGCTCATTCACCGCCGTCACCTGGAACACGAACAAAAAAAAAACGCGTAAATAAAAAAAAAACGTCTGTACGTCTGTAATTACGAAAAATAAAAAGTAAATTACGGAAAAAAAAATGTAAATTACGAAAAAAAAAATTCTGGACGTCTGTAATTACGAGAAAAAAGAAAGTAAATTACGGAAAAAAAAAATTCTGTACATCTGTAATTACGTAAAAAAAAATGTAAATTACGAAAAAAAAAAATTCTGGACGTCTGTAATTACGAAAAAAAAGTAAATTATGAAAAAGAAAATTCTGTACGTCTGTAATTACGAAAAAAAAATGTGAATTACGAAAAAAAAATTCTGGACGTCTGTAATTACGAAAAAAAAAAAATTCTGGACGTCTGTAATTACGAGAAAAAAGAAAGTAAATTACGGAAAAAAAAAAAAAAAAAAAAATTACGGAAAAAAAAAAAAAAAAAAAAAATAAAAAAAAAAAAAAAAAAAAAATTTGGTGGCTGTTTTAAAAAAAAAAAAAAAAAAATTTGGTGGCTGTTTTAAAAAAAAAAAAAAAAAAAATTACGGAAAAAAAAAATTCTGTACGTCTGTCATTACGAAAACAAAATGTAAATCACGAAAAAAAAAATTTCTGGACGTCTGTAAATACAAAAAAAAAAAAGAAAAATACGGAAAAAAAAAAAAAAAAAACGTCTGCGGCGCCCCCTATGTGAGAACCCAGGTCGAGTTAAGTAGTCACTGGTCAGTGATCAGTTTGGGTCAGGACCCCCCACCTACCATCGGGGGGTGGTGCATGCTAACCATGCTAATTAGCATGGTTAGCATGCAATGCTAACGCTACTTGGGCTATCGGTAACTAGCATGCAGCCCCCCTCCATGAACATATGTTGGCATCGTCACCTCTGCGACATGTGGTCACAGGGATTAACACCCCCCCCCTCTGCCGCCCCCTACTGGCCAAAAAAAAAAAAAAAAAAAAAAAAAAAAACGACGCCACCATTTGGTCCCCAGACGTGTCAAAACAAACGCTGCCCTTCGGTGTCAGTGGAGTTTTACTCTCTATCCCCCACTCCTCCCCCGCCGAGCCGACGACTCCCCCCCCCCTCCCGGTATACGGGGGGGGGGGGGGGGG